TACTTAACCGTGTCAGTACAAGATCCAACGTCAGAAAAACACAATGGCAGGACCAAATCAAAACATCAGCAATGACAACAATGAAGAAAGAGACAGATTCAGTGGCAAACCTCCAGTCTTTGATGGAGAGAACTTTCACTACTGGAAAGACAGAATTGAGAGTTTCTTTCTGGCCCATGATGCTGATCTATGGGACATGGTGACTGATGGATACACGCACCCAGTGGATGGAAGTGGTCAGAAGATTGACAGGAAAACGATGTCTGATCAGCAAAAGCGTGAGTTCAGAAATCATCATAAGGTCAGAATAATTCTTCTCAGCGCCATCTCTTATTCAGAATATGAGAAGATATCAAACAGAGACACTGCAAAGAATATGTTTGACTCTCTGAGAATGACGCATGAAGGCAACATTCAAGTCAAAGAAACTAAAGCCCTTGCACTCATTCAGAAGTATGAGGCATTCAAGATGGATGAGAGTGAATCAATAGAAACTATGTTTTCAAGATTTCAAATTCTTGTTGCTGGTCTAAAATTTCTTGACAAAGGGTATTCTACTGCTGATCACGTTAAGAAGATCATCAGATGCTTTCCAAAACAATGGAGGCCAATGGTCACAGCGCTTAAGCTAGCCAAGGATTTCAACAAAATATCTCTGGAGAAACTTGTCAGCTCCCTCAGAAGTAACGAGATAGAGCTAGAAGCAGATGAACCTCAAAATCAAGGTAAGCCATTAGCTTTAAAATCTAACAGAAAATATGACTCCAAAGTTTTGCAGGCTGTGGAAGAAACCTCTGATGGGTCCTCATCAGAAGAAGATGAACTATCTCTCCTATCCAGAAGGGTGAACCAATTGTGGAAGCAGAGGCAAAAGAAGTTCAGGAATCCCAGAAGATCAGAAAATCAGAATGAATATTTCTCTAGATACAGAAGGTCAGAATCCTCCTTTGGACACAGAAGATCTGAAGGTTCTTCAGGAAACAGAAAGTCAAACAACAAAGACATCATCTGCTATGAATGTAACGAGCAAGGGCACTACAAAAGTGATTGCCCAAAGCTTCAGAAGGAAAAGCCCAAAAAGAAGTTTGGCAAGGAAAAGAAGAAAAGTCTCATGGCTACATGGGATGATTCTGACACATCTGAAGCTGACTCAGAATCAGATGATGAAAGAGCAAACATAGCTCTCATGGAAAACATAACAGAAGACAGTGAAGCTTCTGAGTCAGAATCTGAATCAGATACAGAAGAGGTATTCCATGACTTTACTATAAACTTTACTAAGGCTGAACTAGTTGAAAGCCTTAATGAAATTCTGGAAAGATATCAGCAGATCAGAGTCAAATTCAGAAACCTGAAAAGGAATCTTGCTTCTGACTCTGATAAGACTGAGAGTCTCAAATTGGAGAATTCTGAGTTAAAAGATAAAATTTCAAAATTAGAAAACCAATTGCAAAACTCTCAGAAGGAAACAATCCCTGAAACTCCCAGCAATGCTGATGAGATCATCAAGGAGTATGATTACAGCTTTCGGAAGTTTCTAGCTAAAAACATAGACAGAAGCAAAATGGCTTCAATGATCTATGGAGTTAGCAGAAATGGAAGAAAAGGGATAGGATATCAAGGTAAGGTACCTACACCAAAAAATGCCATGGATTTAGTTATAAAACATACTCCACTTGATTCACACTTTATATATGGGCACACACATGACATAAAATATACAAGTAGTGATTACTCTGTCAAACCAAAATTTAACCAGAGTTTTGGTAAAACTAACAAATCAGGACCCAAGAAAATGTGGGTACCTAAGGATAAAATAATACATGTGGCAGATATCTTTAGCAGCAAAGCAAAAACACCAATCATGGTACCTGGACTCTGGCTGCTCACGACACATGACGGGAAGAAGGCATATGTTCCAAAGCCTGGAACGTAAGCCTGGAGGCCACGTAGGTTTTGGAGGCAATCAGAGAGGAAAGATCATTGGCTCTGGAACAGTAGGTAATGGAAATCTTCCCTCTATAAGTAATGTTTTACTAGTTGATGGATTAATGCATAATCTGTTATCCATAAGTCAATTAAGTGATAACGGTTATGATATAATCTTCAATCAAAATTCATGCAAAGCTGTTAGTCAGAAAGATGGGACTATCCTATTTAATGGAAAGAGGAAAAACAACATTTATAAAATAAAACTTTCTGAACTAAAAAGTCAGAATGTAAAATGTCTACTGTCTGTTAACAACGAGCAATGGATCTGGCACAGAAGATTGGGACATGTTAGTATGAGAAGAATATCTCAGATTAACAAACTCAATCTGGTCAGAGGACTTCCTAACCTGAAGTTCAATTCAGATGCTCTGTGTGAAGCATGTCAGAAAAGCAAGTTTGCAAAACCAGCTTTCAAATCCAAAAACGTTGTTTCCACCTCCAAGCCATTAGAACTTCTGCACATTGACTTATTTGGACCAGTTAAAACTGCTTCAGTCAGTGGCAAGAAGTATGGGTTAGTAATCGTAGATGACTATAACAGATGGACATGGGTAAAGTTCTTAAGACACAAGGACGAGTCACACTCTGTGTTTGTCACCTTCTGCAACCAAGTTCTGAATGAAAAGGATCTTAGAATCGTCAAAGTCAGAAGTGATCATGGTGGAGAGTTTGAAAATAAAGATTTTGAGTTATTCTTTAATGATAAAGGCATTCTGCATGATTTCTCTTGTCCTAGAACTCCCCAGCAAAATGGAGTTGTAGAACGAAAGAACAGAACATTGCAAGAAATGGCCAGAACCATGATCAACGAGACTAACGTTGCTAAGATCTTCTAGGCAGAGGCAATAAACACAACGTGTTACATTCAGAATAAAATCTCCATAAGACCTATTCTGGAAAAGACTCCATATGAATTGTGGAAGAACAGAAAGCCCAACATTTCCTATTTTCACCTATTTGGATGTACATGTTTTATTCTGAATACAAAAAATTATTTGAACAAGTTTGACTCTAAAGCATACAAGTGTATTATGTTAGGATATTATGAATGATCAAGAGGGTACATAGTATACAATACAGAAACACAGATTGGGGAAGAGTCAATCAGTGTTCATTTTGATGATAAGCTTGACTCTCAAAAGTCAAAGCAAAATGAATTCCTTGCAGGTATGGAAGTTGAACTCACAGGTACTGAAGATAAATCATCAGAAGCTCTCAACAGAGACACTCCCTCAACATCAGAAAGAGTCACTGCAAGAAATCCAACACCTTTTGTTGATCAACTCCAGAAAAGACCATCTAGAAGCAGCATGGATCACCCAGAAGAAACAATCTTAGGAAGAAAGGAAGATCCAATCAGAACAAGATCTAGCTTCAGAAACTCTGAAGAATTCCTCATGGGACTGGTTTCTCTAATTGAACCAACAACAATTGATGAAGCACTTCTGGACAATGACTGGATTCTAGCAATGCAAGAGGAGCTAAATCAATTCATAAGAAATGACGTATGGGATCTAGTTCCCAAACCAAAAGGATTCAACGTCATTGGTACAAAATAGGTGTTCAGAAACAAACTGAACGAACAAGGTGAAGTCATCAGAAACAAAGCATGCTTGGTAGCACAAGGTTATAGTCAGCAAGTGGGGATAGACTATACAGAAACCTTTTCTCCAGTCGCCAGGTTAGAATCTATCAGACTCTTAATTTCATTTGCTGTTAATAAAGGCATCACTCTGTATCATATGGATGTTAAGAGTGCATTCTTAAATGGCTATATAGAATAAGAGGTATATGTGCACCAACCCCCTGGTTTTGAAAGTTCCAAAAATATAGAATATGTTTTCAAACTAAAGAAGCCACTCTATGGTCTGAAACAAGTTCCCAGAGCTTGGTATGAAAGACTAAGTAACTTCCTGTTAGAAAAGGAATTCTCCAGAGGGAAAGTGGACACAACCTTGTTCTGTAAGACAGTTAAGAATGACATTTTAGTATGTCAGATTTATGTTGATGACATCATTTTTGGATCCACTAAACCCTCTCTGGGAAGAAAGTTTGCTAAATGTATGCAGGCAGAATTTGAGATGAGCCTAATGGGGGAACTAAAATTCTTTCTGGGCATTCAGATTAATCAAACCCCAGAAGGAACTTGCATTCATCAGAGCAAATATGTCAGAGAACTTCTGAAGAAATTTGATCTCTCAGAATGTAAGCCATCAAAGATTCCAATGCATCCCACATGCATTCTGGAAAGAGAAGAGGTAAGTAAAAAGGTAGAACAGAAGGTCTACAGAGGTATGATTGGTTCTCTTCTCTATCTGACGGCTTCAAGGCCTGACATTCTATTTAGTGTTTGCATCTGTGCTGGATTCCAATCAGATCCTAGAGAATCTCACTTAACAGCAGTTAAGCGAATTTTCTAGTATCTGAAAGGTACTACTAATCTGGGTTTGTTTTATAGAAAATCAAGTAATTACAGCTTAATAGGATACTGTGATGCTGATTTCGCTGGAGACAGAGTAGAACGTAAAAGCACTTCTGGAAGCTGCCAGTTTCTGGGAGAAAATCTGATCTCATGGTCCAACAAAAGACAATCCACAATAGCTCTATCAACAGCATAAGCTGAATACATAGCAGCAGCTGGATGCAGTACACAAATGCTCTGGATGAAAAGTCAACTTGAGGACTTCCAGATATTTGAGAGTAACATCCCTATCCTCTGTGACAATACTTCTGCTATTTGTCTCAGTAAAAATCCTATTTTTCATTCTAGGGCTAAGCATATAGAAATAAAACATCATTTTATTATGGACTATATTCAGAAAGGGATTCTAAATTTAAAATTTATTAACACAGACCATCAATGGGTTGATATCTTTACAAAACCTCTTTCTGAAGATAGGTTCAACTTCATTCTGAAACATCTCAGCATGAAACTCTGCCCAGAATAAAACTGTTTTGATTCCATATCTTAACCTTCAGAACTTTGTTTTTTTTTTGTGAACTACAGATCAATCTTTCTTCAGATCTTTAGAAGTACAAATTGTATCAGAATCAAGGATAGAAGTGTGCAATTCACTCAAGCAAACAAGTCTCATCCAGTCATCAGCTACTTTCTGAGGCTGAACACGCGTTCACGTTTCTGAAAGGTCAAAAGCGCTGATTGGTTACATTGAGACACATGTCATGGGTAACCGTTCCAATATCTTTCTGAATCCCCTAAAATCAACTATCATTAAACACTGAGAATTACCCAATAACAGCAAACTAGTAATCAATTCCCCACGACGCTTCCCCAGAACCTGTTTACTTTTTCCTGGATTTGAAGGGCCGCGTTCAGCTTCTTCAATTAACTCACTTTCTTCTTCTTCATCAATATTTGCAACCACATGGGTTGTAATGCTCAACAACAAACACATGCAGGTATCAAGACGAGGTATAGGGCCTGCTTTTGAATCCCTTTCCCTTTGAACCAACCGTAGTGCTGCAGTCCATAAACCCAAAAATGTATTTTTCCACTTAGAGCCATTTACTGAATGTAAAAGCTTTACCAAACAAGTAATAATTTCAATAGCACTAAAAGCTGCTACTTGCCCTCCATCCAAAGCATCTTCAAGTATAAGGTCAATAGGAAGCCAGAGTGAAGACCAGCTACTACCATAAGATTGACCAGCAAAAGATATTTGAGAACCAGTAGGTGTGACTACTACATTAGACTCCAGCTTAGATTTTGTATTGCGTTCATGAGATATACCCACACGGATATTTTCCATTAAAGATAAAAGGGTGTTTGCATTATGTTTCAAATTCCTCAAAAGTGAAGAGTTTGATGCAAGCAACTGCATTTGGTAATTGAAAGATCCCCAGTGTAATGGCATGTTTCGATGAACTAAGGAAAGAAGCCTTGATGTCATTTTATTCTGCAAAAATTCTACAATGATCTCAATAGCCAACTTTGTATTTTCCCTCATCAACCACTCCTTCTGCTCACGATGCATTCTATTGTTGCAGTCAGGCACATCAATATCCATATCATGTGAATTGCTTAGCCATCTTGGCTTAATCTCTGGAATATTATATAATAACCTTTCATCATCTAAAGATGCTTCAAGCAACTGCGATAAAATTGAGAAGACAAATTCCACAAGAACAACTCTTGGTTCACAATCCTTTTGACCGTATATTTGAGAAAGCTTAAGAACATCATCAATTGATTCCATAATCATTTGGTTGTTAGGAGAATTGAAATGAGTTTCCAGCGTAAACGCATGTAGCTTAACGAGTTCCAAGTAAAGTTTGTAAGCTATCGGTTGAAGTCTCCTACAATAAACAATCCTGGTGGAGAGAAGAGCAAGGAGGAGCAAGGGAGGGATGATATTGCGGGAGGCAGCAACATCAAGAATCTTCCAAGCGGTAGGACCGTGACAGTTCCAAAAGAAATGAGAAACTAGACGGCGAGCAAGCTCGACGGAGGGGAGAGTGACGGCGGAGGAGTGAAGCATGGAGGTGATTTCCTCCGCCCATACGTTAGGATTGGAGTTTGTCTGCAAAGCGAAGTCGGTTCGGTGGAGAATCGAGCATAACAGAAGTTCATCGGCGTCGATGGTTTGGGCGGGAACAGCAGAAGCCATCAAAGAAATTAGTAAGAAATGAAAGAGAGAGGTTTGTTCCATATATGTGTTTAGCATTTGGTTTGGGTTAATTAATGGTTTTTCATGTGTCAAATAATTTGTATGAGCATAGGATATTTTGGCATGATTGCTTGTATTGACTTGGATTTTTTTTTTGTATGAATGTGCAGGTCATGAACTGAAGATGAAGAAATTTGGCATGGCATGGAATTAGAAGTTTACTCATGGAATTTCAGCACCTTTAGGACTAAAGAATTTTGTTCAAGTGTATTTTGTAACAGTTTTTTTTTCTTTGTAGAATATTGGTGTAATGGGATTGTAATGATTTTATAATGAATGTTCGGTTTGGATGAACTTGAAATTTATAGTGTGAATTGTGAATAACCTTTGAGCTTGAAATGTTGGGTGATGAATTTTAAGGACGGAGTTTAAATGACAAAGTCTTGAAAAAATGCTTGAAGACATGAAAGCATCAAATTTTCTTGTAAGGTATTGTTACACTTGAATGAAATTGAATGGAATTGGATAGTATTTTCTTGAATCATGAATGAAAGGGTTCGAATAAACTTTGAACACGTGTCAACTTGAATCTGGAATAACGATGAACGTCTTTGTAATGCGTATGAACTCCGACTTGAAACAAGACCTCGCAATCTGTACTTTACCTTCCAAGAAACTCATATGACCAATACTTAAGGCTCTTTGCCAACTTTAATCCAATCAAACACTTTCGAACATCTTGAACTCAAATCAAACTTCAAATCCAAATCACACTTGCATTCTCAATGAACTCCTAACTTCAATCTTGAACCCAAATCAACTTGAATGACAAATAATTTGAATAGTCAATAAGATCTTGGTCCTAAAAAATTCACAACCTTGCCCTTTGTATCATGCCTCATATTCCACGATTCAATCCACAAGTCTCTTATCTTGACAAAGTCCTTCCCTAATTGACGACCTTAAATCATCAAAGATGGATGTAAATGATAATGAAAGAATATGATCAAGATTAATATGAAACCTTATTTCCCCTGATCTTCAATTACTTGAACTTTTATCAATGAATAGAAACCCTGATTTTTAATGAATTTTTTCTTTTCTGAACCAATATTTCTTTTCCTTTACCATACCATTCTTCAAATGCAACTCGAATTCCCAACACATATTAGATGAAAATTCAAGGGAGACCTTGGTCCCAAAGTTAATTTTTCAAAGCTTACTTTAACCGAAGTCAACAGATCTTATCCACATATCTTTGAAATTGACCCATGATTATGCATCTCAAGGTCTCATAAGAGCTTGTAAGCCCATCTACCAGGTATGCCATGTTGAACAAACCCTGCCTTGAATGCCTTGAACCTTGAATTACCTTGCATGAATTCTTCTATGGGAAACCTACTTCAATCCAAACCTACTCACATCGCAGATAACAAATGACAATGATGAGGACAATGATGGCCTTGGTTAAGGAGAAATCTATGAATTCATATCTTAGGTCATGAACCACGCTTCACAATTCAATCCTCAGCCCTTAGCGATCGATTATTTCAACTTGAGATTAGTGTCATAAGGAACATCTTACATATGGATGATAAAGTCTGAATCACAAAAGAATTCCCTTGATGTGAAACCCTCACAATCTTGATTCCTTGTTCAGACGCACAGAGAAATATCCGGATAAAACATCTTTGAACCATGATTCAACAGAACCTAATTTGATTAGACGATTATCATGTCACAGTCATTAATCCTAATCAAATGACAAGCATACTTATAGGAAAGGACGTCATGATTCGAAGCCCACATATGCTAGGTCACGTCCTATAGTTCTTGACCAGAATGACCTACAATCGGTTGTTTATCAGAAGATAATAGCCTTGCTGCTTAAGGGAGAAGAAGTCCTTTATTGGATATGAGCGCCTTAACCACTATGAAACCCTAGTATCGCACAACCACTGAACTTTGAACCTCAGAGCTATATTGAATGAAATGTTTGCCATGTTAGTGACCTAATGAAAAAAGATGCAGATGAATGCAAAAGTCTAAGCCAAAATAAAGGAAATTAGGAGGGCAAATTTTGGGGTGCAACAGCTGCCCCTATTTAATCATCTTCAAGCTGAAGGTGAGATTGGCGCCAGCCTTTCGAACTTTCAAGGTGGAAGAAGATTAAATACTTAAAAGGACCCAAAAATTTGCGCTCCGGAGTCAGTCAGGTATTATTATTTTTCTTTTTCAGAATCTATTTTTTATTATATTATTTTGCTTTTTGGATTACATGGGTCATCGGGGTTAGATGTATGTTTAACCAGAGTTTGATACACAGCAGAATAACTTGGTTATCAAGGAACATCTGTTGGGATTTAGTAACAAACACCTGTAAGAAAGGTATCAAAAGATATATGCCTGAAGCCTGTAGTAGACATACGAAAAAAATATCAGAGACACATATCCGGGGTTGGTAGCGGATATACAAGAAAGAGACATCAAAAATACATATCCGTGGTCGGTATCGGACACGTAAGAAAGAGATATAAAAGATACATATCCGTGGTCGGTATCGGATACACACAAAAGATATAGACAAGATACATATCCGTGGTCGGTATCGGATACGCACAAGAGAGATATCAAAGATACATATCCGTGGTCGGTATCGGATACGCACAAAAGAGATATCAAAGATACATATCTGTGGTCGGTATCGGATACACACAAAAGAGATATCAAAGATACATATCCGTGGTTGGTATCAGATGCTCACAAAAGAGATATCAAAGATACATATCCGTGGTCGGTATCGGATACGCACAAATGAGATATCAAAGATACATATCCGTGGTCGGTATCAGATACACACAAAAGAGATATCAAAGATACATATTCGTGGTCGGTATCGGATACGCACAAAAGAGATATCAAAGATACATATCCGTGGTCGGTATCGGATACGCACAAAAGAGATATCAAAGATACATATCCGTGGTCGGTATCGGATACGCACAAAAGAGATATCAAAGATACATATCCGTGGTCGGTATCGGATACGCACAAAAGAGATATCAAAGATACATATCCGTTGTCGGTATCGGATACGCACAAAAGAGACATCAAAGACACATATCCGTGGTCGGTATCGGATACGCACAAAAGAGATATCAAAGATACATATCTGTGGTCGGTATCGGATACGTACGAAAGAGATATCAAAGATACATATCCGTGGTCGGTATCGGATACATACGACAGAGACATCAAAGATACATATCCGTGGTCGGTATCGGATACGTACGAAAGAGACGTCAAAGATACAAGAACATATGTCTGAGGTTGGTAGCAGACATATGAAACAGGTATCGAAAATACATATCCGTGGTTGGTATCGGATACGTACGAAAGAGACGGACCGAAGAAAGCTCTTGCAAAGAAACACCAATCGAAGGCAGACTTACTGAGGAAGGAGACCAAATGAATGGGACTGCGGACAAATGATGTCAATCGAAGGTGGATTTAAAAGAAATGACACCATCCGAAGCGGGATTTTGACAAAAGATACCAGGCGAAGCGGGGTTTTGAAAGATACAGGTATGCATGTCTGGTCAGAGTTAGATACACAAGAGCAAAGTTGATCATCAAGAAACAAATGTTTAGAATTGCTAGCGAATACAAGAACAAGATTAACCGAAGAAAGCCCTAATAAAAAGGGCGCGTTTGCCTAAATAAGGATGCTAGACAACTAGACTTTGAAGAGACACTGAAAGACTCTTAACATAAAAGATTAGCTAGGCTAACGAAAGGAGGACCCGACTAACGTGGATAAACCAAAATAAGGAACCGACTAAGCAGGACCTTCAAAGAGAACTGATAAAATGTGAACTCTGCAAGAGAAAGGGACTGGTCCAAGCAGACTCTAACAAAGAAAAACATGTTAGGCTTTTGATAGGTTGCAAATACACAAGAACTAAAAAAATCCCTCAGGCCAAAGGAGGGGTGTAATTCTTCAAGAGTGGCAGTCATCTGAATTACCATACACCAAGTATAGACACTCAAATACTTGAGAAATAAGAAAGGCTATACGCCGACTCTTACTCGCACTCTAACGGCAAAGCGAACACGGGTAAAATAACCAAAAGCTTGAAAGGGCAAGTGTAAACCACGATTTACTGGGGAGATGGAGGAATACCAAAGACCCGACTGATGGTGAATCAAAACAAACCCCGCTGGGGAAACATAATAGAGTCACCCTTAGGCTTGTTATGGAGATAAATCAAATCTGAGCGCATAACAATCTGGTTACCACAAGTGGACATAATTGGCTTATACTTATGCATGTTTGAATTTTTTATAGCGTAATGCTCCATGCAATGGAAATGATATGCATTTTAGTAGATGCGATGTAATGATGCATGTTTAGTAATGCACTGGGGAGACCACGTCAATAATCGGATGTTGGGAAGACAATGAACTTTCAAATGATTATTCTTGCACATCTAATCTTCTGTAGAGAACATGCAATATGAACTTCAGTAGGAAATCGAGATTCAAAACCATCAACCTCGAACGATTGATAACATTGAAGAAATAACTTCCTGGGTAGTAATACTGCAAAAAAAATTGCAGTTTGAGAGAAAATCTTGAAATCTGATCAAACTTCCAAATTCTTGGGGGATAGATACTTTATCTTCTGTTAGAATGGGGAGAGCTTCGCTAGGGATGGAAGCTTTCTCTTGCGCATAACTTCTTTACGAAGATAGCTTCTACTGGGGAGTATAGAAATTCTTAAATAAATAGAATTCTACTCAGACCACACTGGGGATAACAACGCCGGGGATAAAAATCTTCACTTGGGGAAGAACCAAACATCCTAGGACAGAAACTCCACCGCTGGCATCTCAACAAAATCTTTCATATTCCGGGATGAAGGAGTTATAATTGGTGCTCCCATGTGCACCATACTGGGGAGAAGATGACACTTGTTCTAGAAAGCATGCTCCACTAGG